GGAGCCCCTACCAAGTATTGAGTACATGTACAGTAAATGAACATACTTTCCAGAAGGCCAACAATTCACTAAAAATGTTTTTTTTATTGGTCTTATGAAGTATTCTAATTTGTTGAGATAGTGAATTGGTGGGTTTTTGTTAAATGTGAGCCAAAATCATCACAATTAAAAGAACCAAAGACTTAAACTACTTCAGTCTGTGTGCATTGAATTTATTTAATACACGAGTTTCACAATTTGAGTTGAGTTACTGAAATAAATTAACTTTTCCACTACATTCTAATTTATTGAGATGCACCTGTAAAACCTTATCCACTGTGGGCTGTGGTAGACCAGCTTTAATTAATCCCCCAGCAAGCTTGTTGAATGATTATTGTACTGATATTGTATTTGTAATTAATTAGTTTACTGAAGAAATACATGTTGTAAATATTTGATGTACCTCCTAGTATCTTTTCTTCACTGCAAAACTTTGACTTATAAGGATTTAATTCATGGTACAAACAAGGAAATATTTGCATTTCCTTTTCCTTTTATTTGCCTAGCCCTGCCTGGATCATTGTTTTTTATATTGGTACATCTTGCAGTGCATTCCTTAAGTTGAGAAACCTGCCAAGCCTGTCAACTTGTTTTTTTCGGTAAGCAATTACGTCAGTAAAATATGAAAAATATGAAGTGTTTTCACATTTTTGAGCAGGAGTCAATAAGGTGTGATCATTATTTTCCGGAGTTGTTCATTCAAAGTCAGTAGTTACCTGTGGAAGTATGCGTTACCATTTGGGGTTATTTTTTCTGGATTTTTTTAAATCAAAAATTTCATTGTGGAGCAGTTGGATGATTGGAATTTCACAGTGTCAAGGCTTCATTTAACCATGCTGAACCCAGGGACAAAAAGGTGATATGAACTTTTTCCTGTGAATGACTATTAGAAAGCTTTACATTGTTGACTTCTTTTGTAGTTTTGGTTGGCAATAACTTTTGTAATAACTTAAAATTTTGTAATAACTCCAATATTGTAACAACTTTAAACAGTAAGCCTACATAATTAACAATAATACACTGCACATAAAATACAATGTTACCTAAAAAGTAACCTAAAAATTGCTCACTTTATGCAAGTTTAAAAATGTATAAATGTTTTTGCATTGTAAGTCAATATATATAGCCAAGTGACATTTATTATAAAGAAAGACAGCACAAGAACACCTTCCAATCAAAACAATCAAAATATTCAGGTATAATTTTTAATTTGGTTTCAATACTTTAGTTTAATTATTTTGATATATAATACTGATCTGTCAAGCATTATGCAATATAATAATGTTTATTCATATTATTAATCATTGTTTTTATAATGTGTCAACATCTTGTGTATGTTGCTGCAAAATGTAATGTATTAATAACACATTAATTCATAGTTCTTATATATTTATGCATTTCATATAAACGTCTTGTTTTTCCACCAATCAGAATGAATGTGTCGCACTACGTAATAAATCTCTATACATACTAACAATCGAGGGCTTGCGTTTAAAACGCAGCTAAGCTAATCGTATTGTTACGAAGATCAAATCTGCACAATCAAGAACAGCAACATACCTACAAGACATTTCAATGGTATGTAATCTAAAAATAAGTTTGCAATTACGTATAGCTATCAAAGGTTTAACCTTTAGGTGCAACCTAAAAAGATTGCAGTGGCTATAGATCTGGCATAGATGTCTGAACGGAAGAATAAAATGGAGATGAGCATGCTAGTCGCAACAAGAAAAGAACACAATTTAAAATAGTTTATCTTAATATTTATTATAAACTACGGTTTACACTGTAGTTTATAATACTGTTATAAATACAATTTAATTGAGTTTTCAAACATCTCTCTCCAAAAAAAAAAAAAAACATTGTACAGAGGCTCTAGCAGTGCTTCATGCTAGCAAGTGACAAAGCAATTTCATGATCAGTATCTTTCCTCTTCCCTGTAAGGTAAAGGTTTCAATAATAATTAATAACTAGTCTCTTTCATTAATTAGGATAAAGAGATTTTAAAAAGAGATTTTAACTTGCAACTTCATCTTTAAACAATGCAAATACACAAATAAAGTTGTTTGGAATGCAAACATGTTAACATCGCCGAACAGGCACTCAGTCTGATAAAGGCTGCATTGCTCTTGACAGAGATATCTTTTGTTCTTCATATTTTTGGCATGAGGTTTTACATTAATTATATACATCATGATATTTTTTTTAAATTAGGGGAACACATGCTGCAATTTCTCCTGCTTGAAAGATGTTGGATTGTGTCCAACTGTCGTCGATACTTGCCAGCTTAAGGTAGTCAGGTCTATTCAAACCATTCATTCATTAAACATCTTTAAAAAGTTTTTATTTAGCATGATATCCATTTTATTGTGTTTTAGTATCCTGTCCAGTGTGTGGACAACTGTGATGGTCGAGATGGACAAGTGGTGTTTGACAATTTTTTCCATTCCATCAGTCAACCAAACGTAAGTCATAATCTGATTTTGCTCATTTGTATTATTTTGAGAGGTCATGCTCTATTGTGAATACAGTCATGGCTAAACAGTTTTGGAATGATATATCACATTATTAGCTTTATAATACTCACATGTCATATTATATTCACAGCATGGTTTCAAGTGCTTAAAAACTAACAACCACTGTATTTAAATTAAGTCAATATTGTTAGATGCTGTTGAAGTGTTAATGTGTAATGTGTTTTAGATTTCTATTCAATGCCTGGAGAATCCAGAGGGTGAAGATGGAATAGTGGTGTTTGAGTCAGAATCATTTCCCAATTATTTCCAATACACTCATCAACCAAATGTATGTTATGATAATTCATTCAGCCCGACATTGCTCAAATTTATCATAATTGGTTATTTGTAATGTATAATGCTGCTATGCTTTCATGTAATTTAAAGGATTTACAAGCTTGAGATTACAGTTAGTAGTAATAGTACTAATGCTGTGGTCAGGGTAAAGTGTAAAAAAGTGATTGGCAACTATAAAACTGAAAGTTCGAATGAAATAAATACGGTTAGGAGCAGCTTAAGTGTTGTTTTTACGTATTAAAACCAATGTAATGTCTTTCAGGCTTCTGTTCAATGCCTGGAAAATCCAGAGGGTAAAGATGGAGTAGTGGTGATCGGCTGTGAATCATTTCCAATGCTCCTGTTGCATCTCTCAAGTGGAAGACCTTGATAAAGATGCCTGATGCGTATTCATTTACATATGCCTGTAAA